ATTTTTTTTTTTTTTTTTTTAGTATAGATGATAGGGACAGACCAGACATTCTAACAAAGATAAGAGGTGAAAGGGTGAGAAGACAGGCAGCTAATGTATCAGTGCCTTAACTTAAAAACAGGAAATTTGCTCCAAGAATCTAGGATAGTGCCTAGGTATTGTGATTTAATTGGCAAGAAGGAAGCCAAGAGCTCTTCTTTTAACTCTATGTCCATGAGCAACTTCTCCAGTTCAAGATCTAGATTATAGTGCTGACTTGTGTCTAAGAACTTTGCAATTTTGCTCAGATCTCACTGGCCATAAGCACATGTCATTTTTTAGCAGAAACCATTATTGCTAACCATATTTTAAGTTTAGAATTGTGGGGCTATGGCAGAGACAACTAATATAAAGACATAGCCCAGGAGAGATCTCTCAGTCTGCTGCTAAACATCAAGAAACACAGAAAACACTCAGATGCAGTTAGAAACTCTGATGGTGAGTCAAGAGACTGCATGTGCTACCTGGCAAAAAAGAATGATAATTCCCTTCATCAGCTTACTGTTGTAAGATCCTTGATCCAATTTAATTTTTTCAGTATTATCAGACTGACTCACATTTCAAGTATCTTGGTTGGGAAAAAAAAATTCTAGGAAATAAAAAAGCTTCTGTGGAGTACAAGCATGGCTTGTAAAAAAAACAAAACAAAACATGCCTTAGACAGAAACAGGATATTGGAAAATAATCCAGAACCTTATAAGTAAGAGAAACATAAAGGACTTAGAGATCTTCTTGTCTAAACTTCATAGCTACATGTACTGAAGCTAACTTCTCTGTAAGTTTAATGCTCACAAGAAAATGCCTATTCGAGCATATACTTCTCAGAAGTCAGAAAAATTTTAAACCATTAATAAATTACATGGATCTAAACTCAAATTTTATTTTTCTTGTGGAAATTGATGACAATAGGCACCCAGACATTAGGTAAATGGAAAACCCCCCAAAAATATTATTTGAATCTAATTTTAATGAAACATTGGCTGGAGATCCATAGTATGAAATTCTACCAGTATAATTCAAAAACATTGGTAATATAAAGGGAAAGATAGCTGAGTAAACACCTTATAGATTTCGTCATAGAAAATGCATTGTCTGTGAAAATTTCCTGTGAAACTTTCTATTTCAACATACCAATATCTAAAAAGTATGCAATTTAGTGAAGCGAATACATAAATTGCTAGATATTGAAAACTAATATGCAAACACATTTCCTCTCCTACCTGTAAAAATTTGAGTGTCTTCTTAGTGACCACAAAGGTCAAATTCTTGCCAGTGCTATAGGATTTATGCCCAACTTATTGACATCAGCATTTATCTCAGGAGAATCCTGTTTCAAGAAACAATTAAAAATTAAATCCCAATGGAGAGCATTTCCACCGAGAGAAATACTAATTGGTAGTACTATACTCTCTCAGCTTCAAAAATTTTTTAAATCTACATTTTATAATTCATTGAAGTTTAAACAATTTGTCTGTTATGAGTACTAGGGCAATATTTATGACAATAATGAAAAAGAATTTACAATACTCTGGGGACACAACTCATAAAACTGAATTCAGGTCATTGTCTTCATCATTTCAACTTCTCTAACTTATTTCCTACATTGTTTGTCCATTAACTAACTCACACAAAATATGTCCTTAGTGAAAATTTCAGTGGTGCTCACTCTTCAGAATGCAAATATGAAAAATATGTTTATCCCCTAAAGGAGTCTGCACATTGATGGGATGCTCAAATAAATAATACTAGGTACAAATGATTAGTGTCCAGAAGAAAAACATGGAATGTGAGAGACTGGTAACTACCAGTGACAACAGCAGTACCTGACATAAACAACAATTAATAAGTATATGTTAAATATATGAAGGGCTATATTTAATTTATTATTTCTATCATGCCTTCCATGTTTGGAAAAGTTTCCTAAAAGTGAGTCCAAAATTGAAGTCAGAGCACAGTAGCCTCAAAATGTAGTTGAGGAAAAGGTATCTTACAAATAATATTTGACATTCATAATAATCTTGTTGTCTGGGTTTGCAGTTGAATAGACTGGTCCTTCAGGGTAGCTATTCTAAGCTTACCCAACTAAGAAGTAAATAATAAAAATGAGTTTTAGACTCAGGTCTGAAAAACCCAAAACCAATTCTTTTCCCACCGCACTGTCTGTCTCAGTGTGAAGAGATGATTTGTTTGTTTGTTTCAGCAACAAGAAGTTGAAGTGAATATTTTAACAGGTGGAATGAATCTTGAAGTGGCTAGAAATAAAAGAGCATCACACAAAATTGTTATTCACTGTATCTAAAGGAATTTATGAACTGCGGCCCCAAGCCCAGAAGCCCACAGTCACGCTTTCTTGGTGAGACAGGGATATAATGAACATGAAGGGAGTGTCCCATTTTCCAATATTGCAAATCAAACTTCCTGGCCTCAGTAAATGCCTGTTTTGTTGTGATTCCCACCAAACATCTTCTCTGCCTGAGCAGCATTGGAGATCCTTCTAAGTTGTTACCCAAATGTAATGTATAATTATGAATGGATATCAAGGAAGATGCATTGTTACAAAGACTGCTCGGAACTAGTAACAAAACTAGTAATAAACTTTTGTAATAAAAATTTTACTTTTTGTGTTTGAATTTTACAAAATCATTAAAGTTTTTTTAAAATGCAGTGTTTGCCATTGATATACCACATTTCTTATTTTACTATAAAATTTGCCCTGTAACTTAGGGAAAATGTCTAGAAAATGTTTCGGAACCAAAAGAATATTGATGTATTTTAGGGAAATATTTTTTTCCTTAACAGCTGTCTGGTTAATGCTTCTTTCACATCTTTGTTTCTAAGGCTATAAATCATGGAGTTCAACATGGGTAGTGCTGTGGTATAAAATACAGCAACTGTTTTCCCCTGTTGCACAGTTTCCTTTGAGGGGAGTCTAAGATACACGACAAAGAGAGTTACACAGACTATGGTGACAGCTGTCAAGCGAGAGCCACAGGGAGAGAAAGCTTTGCCCCTGCTTTTGTTGAACGAATCCTCAGGATGGCAGAAAAAATATAAGGTAAGAAATCAAGATGAGGAGGAGGGAAAAGTTAAGATCACTGCCAGCACCAACAAACACTGACTTTTTTGATGTTGGTGTCAGAACAAGCCGGCTTAGTGAGGGCTGGGTCAGCACAGTGGAAGTGGGACCGCGGGAGACTAGGCTGGGGGGCCACATGGTCTCCACCAGCCCGGGGGGGGCTCCATACACAGAAGGCGCCACCATGAGGGGCGCGCACACTCTTGGACATTTTGACGCCATAAAGCAGCGGGTTGCAGGTGGCCATGCCCCGATCAAAGGCCACCCGGGCCCGGGCATAGAGCTCCACGTGGGCCAGAGCAATCTAAAAGTGACACTGCACCAGACTAGCAGGATAGGAAATGCTTTCTTCTCTGGCAAGAAAACCTCCAGCATCTTTGGGGTGACGTTGGAAGAGAAGCACAGATCCACAAAGGTTAAGTGGCTCGGGAAAAAGTACACGGGCGTGTGAAGCCTGGCAGTGGCCCGGGTGAGCGCAATCATCACCAGATTCCCTGCCACTGTGGCCACGTAAATGGCCAGAAACAGCAGGAAGAGGGAAATCGGCAATTCCAGGCGACCGGGCCGTCCAAGGAGAATGAATTCAGAGACTGAGGTAGACGTAGGGTGAGTCATTTGCTCAGTAAATCTGATTCCGGAGTTCATGCTCTTAGCTATTAATTTAGCTGATAAATGACAGAGTCAGGATCTGACCACAAAGCTCACTTTGTCGACAAGTTGAATTAGCTCACACATTATAGAATGGGGTGTTTTCTCATAGTGGAATATATCAGTCAGTGTGCATGCAGCTGTCAGATACATGGTCAGCATTGTTTGGAAGACAGAAATAATAGTTTTATTCATTTTGGGTTTTTTCTTCAACAAGATATAGTGGAAAGAGGAAAACAAAAAGCAATACTGTCTGAAGCTAGACACATTTGGTCTTCTCTTCTGATTTTAGGTTAATAGTTGGTGAGTCTCTATTTGCTCACCTCTAAAACGGGGACTATAATACTGAAATCAGTATTGGTGGTCACATTATGTGAAACAACAACTAATAAGACAGGACCTGAACTTTGGTAAACATTATTATGATTTCTTTCTCTCTCTTTCATGTGGGCATTAGTGTGAGTCTAAACGGTCTAAACAGTCTTCAGATATCACTGCTCACAGGAAAATATATAATATATGAATTAAAATGTTATATTTATTGCACTACCATTCCCAGGAGCATTTATTTACTTTTTCTAAATACATATGGATTAGCTTTCCTCACAAAACCACCAGCTAAAGTCATAAACTTTTAGATGGGTGAGACAAAAAATACAAAATATCATAATTATTGTTCCTTAAGGAGGTACAGTAAATATTCTTTATTTTCTCATAGATTGTTTAATCATCACATTGCTCAATTTTTTAAAATAAATATAGATTATTGCAAAATTTACTTTATTATTTTTTAAAATTTATCTTTATTGTTGAAAGTATTACAGATGTTCCCTTTTTTCCCCATTGACCCCCTCCACCCTGCCCCAGGCCTTCCCCACACTATTGTCTGTGTCCATGGGTTATGCATCTGTGCATATAAATTCTTTAGTTAATCTCTTCCCACCTTCCCCCCATTCCCTCTGAGATTCGTCAGCCTGTTCCCTGTTTCTGTGTCTCTGGATCTATTTTGTTTATCAGTTTATTTTGTTTGAGATCAATTTATTATTTTATGCTGCCTTTATTATTGAGCCTTTATTTGGTGCCTAGCTAAGCTGTAAAGATAGAGATATGGACCGTGACATCAGAAAATGTGGAATAATAAAGGGGCTAGTTTTACATAACTGAATATGTGTGTGCTTAAATAGTAATAGATCTAAGTATGTGTTTAAGTAGAACCCAACAAACTATCAATTGAATGCTAAAGGTTACATTAAAAGTTACATTAAAAGTAACATCTGGTCATAAGAAAGCTTGAAATAATTATATGGGATAATATACAATTAATGGACATTAAAATGCTACCCTGCAGAAAATATTGAGCAAAAATAGGCTGGCTCTAAGGTGGAAGAGAAGCTTTGAAATACAACTGAGAAAAATGTCTCCGTTGGGGGAGCGACTCATTACAGTTCTACGGCTTTTCCTTTGTCACTGAAAATAACATTCATATATGTGATCACCGAGAGGTTCTAACACTGACTGTTCAGACCTGCCCGGTCTGACTTAACGTCGAATGAGGAGCTAGGGGTACGTTGTAACAGGAGCACCAAGGATGAACAAGCTCTTACCCTTCACAACCACGAGACTCTCTTCAACTTGCTCAGAATAATCAGCACTTCCATTTTCTAATAACACTTAACAAATTGTATTTACTTTTCTCTTTACAGTTTCATGAACTCTAGAAAACTCTGTAATCCTAGAACCCCACGAAGGCTCCTTGGTCCTCAGAGCAGGACTTGGCTTATTGTAGATACACAGTAAACACTCGACTTTGCTTATGCTGTGTAGTTGAAAAGTCACCTGAAATGTTAACATCTCCAAAGAACTGCCTTGCAGTTTGAATCCTTTAGCATTGATATTTACAAACCAGTAAACATTTCATTCTAAAGTTATGTGTAATCATATACAATTTCTAATATGTATTATATGTTATATATAAAACTAATTGTGGCACAGGACAACTGTGGGTAAAATTTGAACTACGGTACAAATAGCAAACATCTGTCTCCTCACGAAAAAAAGATTAATAGCAGAGATGAGGGAAGGCATAAAACCCCAGACCCCAGGAGGCTAGAATGATACTAATAAACTACAGAAATCACAATTCCTTCTGAGACAAGCCATATATTTTTGCAAGAGCCATTCTTAGCCTGGTCCAGGAGTTATATCTAAAACAAATAATTGTCTGGAGGTTCTCGTTTCCTGTTATTGCAGAAGAAGGAAGGTGTTTTATTGAAAGTAACTCTCATAAGTGGGGAGAAATAAATGATGTCACACAAGGACGTGGGGGTGTTATAGTAAATTCTCTTTCCTAGAGGTTACAGCAAGTCTCAGCATTTTGGTCGCTTTTCTCTAAACCATGGGATCAAAGCTCCTACATTGTAAATGCTACAGAATTATAAAATACTAAAAATTAGCTCATGACAATCAACATGGGTATTAACAATTTTGTGTACGTATGTTCGCAGATTGGTTTGTAGATATAGAGAACTTTTCTGGAAACATAAGAAACTTACTAGGGAGAATTTTAGGAAATGAGAATAGAATACTAGAATAGAGAGAAAGAAAGAAAACATTTTATTTTTACTTTATACTCTTCCAGAGTTGTGATAAACATCACAACTCTAAGAATGTGTAATTTTATAATTTAAAAGTAATATCTAAATTTATAAATGTAAACATGCATAAAATGTGTAAAGGAAAAGAAAGTATGCCTCACACTTAGATATATAATGTAACTCCCACCCCTTTACACACACAATGCACCCGCATGTCTCATAGAAAACTATACATTTTCTATACCCATGCATTTTAAGTTTTGTCCTTAGATTAGAACTTTTCAGAGTCAATTTAAATTTTGTTACTATAAATGCAATTAAAATAAGATCCAGTTGTTATAAATATCCCTCTCGTTTAATTCATAAAGAAAGGCGCACTGCAGTTTTACTTCAAAAGCACATTCCTTCGCATCAGTTTCCACAGATCTCGCTTCACATCTTTGTTCCGCAGGCTGTAGATGATGGGGTTCAACATGGGGCTCACAAACGTGTAGAACACGGCGACGATTTTGGACTCCTCCACTGACTGGTCCGTGGGGGGCCTGACGTACATGCAGAACAGGGTCCCGTAAAACACGGTCACTGCCACCAGGTGGGCCCCACAGGTGGAGAAGGCCTTCTGCCTGCCCTGGGCAGAGCGTATCCTCAGGGTGGCGGCGAGGATGAAGGTGTAGGAGACGCCGATGATGAGGAGGGAGCTGGAGAGGTTAAGCCCCGCCACCACAAACATGGATGTCTCCTTGATGAACGTGTCGGAGCAGGAGAGGCGGATGAGGGGCGGGTCGGCGCAGTAGAAGTGATTGATGACGTTGGAGCCGCAGAAGGTCAAGCGGTGTGTCCACAGGGTCTCCATCAGGCCACTAAGGAAGCCATAGGCATAGGGACCAGCAATCAGGCGGATGCACACGCCTCTGGACATCCTGCTGCTGTAAAGCAAAGGGCTGCAGATGGCCGTGTACCTGTCATAGGCCATCACAGCCAGCATGTGATATTCAGTGATGACCATGGCAATGAAAAAATAACACTGGGCTAAGCAAGCCGCGTAGGAAATGGTTTTCTTCTCTGATAAGAAGTTGGCCAGCATCTTAGGAGTCACGTTGGTGGAATAGCACAAGTCCAAGCAGGACAGGCTGGCAAGAAAGAAGTACATAGGGGTGTGGAGGCCTGAATCTATCCTGATCAGCACCAGCATGCCAAGGTTCCCCCCAACCGTGATCAGGTAGATCACCAGGAACAGCACGAAGAGGACGGGCTGAAGCTCTGGACGATCCGTTAATCCTAAAAGGATAAATTCGCTCACCAAGGTGGCATTTCCTCGGACCATTTTCTTAGGTGCCAGCATTGCTCGCTTAGATGAGTGAAAATAAATTAAGAAGAGAATGAGAAGCCCGTCATAGGTTCCTTTTCTCTCTCTCCCCCAGCTCCTCCTCTGCTCCCAGTCACCCTCACACAGCTATTATTGGGGTCTGAGGCTGTAGGAGTGGAGACTTTTGGAAGAAAGTCGCGGTCCCCATTACCCAGGTGTATAATGTTCAGAAGATTCCCAAGGAAAATGGCTCTTGTGACACCAGGTTGGTTTGGCGATGTGGGAATTATGACCGAAAGTTTTTCTAAAAATGGATTGAACCACCAACTGCCACTTGCAGTTCAATGTGAAAGCAGGGGCTTCGTCAATGAACCCAGCGATGGTTCTGGACAATGTGGTGACGTGCTTGAAAGTGGTTTTTCAGTCATTAACTGTGTGTATTTAGAAGCTCGAACTCTGAGAACCTTACCCCCTGCTGTAGTAGAAAGCCCCAAATTATAGAGGTTCGAGGCAAATTCTCCGGGCCCTGTTTGCCTGCATTATCCATGAAATACACAAATAGGTCTAAGACAAGAACCCCAAATTTGCAAATAAAGCCCTATATGAATTACTGTTGAAGAAATTTTCATTCAGGAGAGTTTAAATGAATAAAAGAGAGGCATAGATGGGAAAACAAAAGTAGTCAAAACTTAGATCACAGTTTTGGTTGCTTACCCATCTCTTTTTTCATTTAACAAGAAAAGTGTTTAAGGCGTTGATAGCCAATAACAAAATCTGGCAAATTTGTGCTGCTGGTGGGACACAAATATGACTCTAAGCTTTCTAAAATCATATGTAAACAGTTCAACCTTCTTTATTACAGAACCATAATGTCCAGAAGTTCTAAAACAAAAACTAATTACTAATTATTATTATTCTTAGCACAGAGTTTAGGTGATGCTGATTATAATGAAAGAATTATACATCCAGGCAATATCAGTTCAGATAATGTCAATTACAATTCAAGAATGAAATGAGAAATTATAATGTCAGGAGTCTGGGGAATATATTTCCATTACGGAGTCTTAATGTCCTCATGTATTATTGCATCAGTGATACGCTAAATAAGATAATGAATTAAAACTCAAGTGCCTGAGGGAGCCATTGAGATCCTAAGAATGAAGAGAGTGGTCGGTAAGAGCGAGCCAAAGGGACCTGGAGAGTGTCCCCGGGCGGTTCCAGTGCGAGCTCGCAGGCGAGCCCAGAGGCCCTGTCGCAGGCCGTGGGGTGAACACCCTGAGAGCTACAAGGCAGCAGGTCTTTGAATCTGTCTTTGATGCTTTTTTGGAATGTGTTGGGGGGCAGGGGGTGCACCCAAGTTAAATTAGAACCAACATTCCCTGTTAATTGGAAATAGAATTTGCAGGGCTTAAATATACAACTTTGGCTTTTGAGAGGAAACTACAGCAATTAGACGGTCAAAATTTATGCCAATAGAAAAAGTGTTCTTTCCTCACTCAGCAGAAGGATAAGTCCATTTGGAAAGTGTTCACCTTAGTAACATAAACCTTTTAATTTTTTTTTTACATAAAGATACTCATCTAATTTTTAAATCTGTACAACCATATCCTAAATAGTAGCACCTGTTGGGACATTATATTACATTAAACAACTAATAAAGACAAAAGCAAAGACAATAAAAATATTAAAAATTAAATTGAAATTTAATCTGCCTATCACCTACCTTTTCCTGTAAATAGGTTCAGTATCCACACTCTAGAGTTTAGGAAGAAAAGGCCATATTTTGATAACACTATTTTCTCCCATATACACAGGCACTTCAGTTTTACAAAGCAATTGTGCTGGTCTATTTTATTTCACCTTTAGAAGGATCCTGCACCTGACAGAATGAGTACAATTAGAAATGGGGGAAATGGGGCACAAATAAGCATTTGAAAAATCTAACAAAAGAAAATTACTTTGAGATCTGAGATGTGCATGTGGCAAATACTGTTGGCAAATTTAAAATATTTTTGGTAAATTCTTATAAATTCAAACTTGCCACCTTAGGCTAAAGCCTTTTTTCCACTGAAAGTGAGTATCTGAATGATTTTGGAATACTTAATAGGAACTCAACTGAAGAGGATTTCAGTTTTTGTAAGCAAATTCACAGAGCTTGCACCGCCGGGACATGCCAAAGGCTCATGCTTAACGGCTGTGGGAACCACCTTTGACAGTTTCCAATCTAATTTTTCCTGCACCCAGTGTGCGCTGTGGTTAGAAAGATTATCTGTGTGGTATTTACGCAAGCAGTAGCAAAATTTATTCTCCGTGACTCTTATCATTTCCCAACAACTCCTATTCCAATATAGGATGCCAAGGAATTCATATTGAATTATTGGAGAGATTGTTGAACCAGTTCACAATAATCATGAAAAATTTGCCTCTGTATAAGAAACAGCACACACAAAAATTAATTAAACTTCAGTGAGGCGGGAAACCAGACACCCTTCTAAGTATGGATTTCCTTATGACATTGGCACCCACTCTGAAATTGCTGGGTCGTCAGGAGTAAGGGTAGGTAGCAATGAGTTTTTAAAGTCTATGTTCCTTATCTCCAAAAATATAACTGAAATAAAACTCCACATTCGGTTTCAATGGCTCGATAACATCAAATTGTTTTCCCCTGATTGGAATGGTCACAAATAAACTAGATAACAGAGGCAACACAGATTTGTTCACGCCCATGAATTTGATCCACAAGGCTGTCGATACACCTATGTGTTTACTATTTATTATGAAAAGATACGAGGCAAAACGCATTACTTCTAGTTTAGTAGAAAGTATTAAAAACAAAAACAAAAAAGCCACAGGTGCCATTTGTAGTACACTGGTAAATGTGATAAATACTTGATGAAAATTAGGAGTTCTAAGGGTTTCCTATTCTGCCACTTTAAGAAAAGCAATCGATCAATAAAAGTGCAAATCTCACCTCTACAAGTGCCACTAGTACCTGAAATACTACCTGTTGAAATATTGATCCAGGGAAAAGCTTGTCCTCTTCAGGCTCCAGTTAAAATGCAAATGTCTAGGGGAGCAGGACCACACTGGACTGCGGTCACATTTGCTGTTTCGTGTCCCTAAGTCACCATTTCTGTAGCCCCATAAGGCAGGCAGAGTGAGAGACCAGGGGCTAGCTACTAAAGCCAAGGAAAGGAACACAGAATATAGAAATAAGGGTTATTGAATTTAGTTTGGGAAATTTAGTCTAGAAACTACCACAACTAGTCATTAAGACTTAAATAAATTTTCAAGAATAGCTGAGAGGAATGATATTTTAAGGTAGGAAATAAAGAAAAAGCCAAATGAGCCATGGAGTTGGTGGAGCCACGCATCTCACGCGAATATCGGCTTCCCGGGGTGAAGCATCTTCATTGTCTGCTCTGCCGGTTTTCCAGGCCAGTGTCTCACAAATATAAGGGCCTGATTGCAATGAATGAACCTAAATTATAGATCATGCTGCACATGCCATACTAGTAAATCATACGTCAGTAAAAACTCATTAGAAAGGTGTCCTTTTACCTTAATATGCTGGCTTTCTTTCTACAGACTTCAGAGTCCTCATTACTCAGCATCAGACTTTGACTAAGTAATTTCTGAAATGTCCATCATTGGGAACATTCTGACTCACCATTTATGTAGTCACAAATCTCACACTCATTACTAGTCATGTATTTTCTTTAATATTAAATTTGCCCCCAAAGTGTTTCTCTCCAATAATTTAAAAAAATTATAAAGTTCTATGAAAGCTTTATATTTGCCAGAATGAATATAATTATGTTTGAATTTGTCCCTCTTTGGAATATTTTGCCAAGGTTTTATTGGTGGGGAAACTGTTGTTATCAATAGATATTATTCTTAAAAAATTTATTAGTTTGTCAAGTGCTTACTCCAATATGGTTATTTAATGTGCACTAAATTATTAAATGAATGGAGGGAAAGCTATTTATAAAGTAAAGTGATTAATGTAAACACATAATTCCAATAAAGTTTTATATTTTCTAGTGACCAATCTAAAGAATAAATACTGAGAAATTATGCTAACATTCAAAACTGCTTTTGTTGTCACCGGACACCTACTCATGAAGATTCAAAACTGAAACAAGGAGAGCAAGCACAGGCCTGGCCTGTGTGGCTCAGCTGGTTGGCACATCCTCTTGTACACCGTGGGTTCAACTCCCCATCAGGTTGTGGGTTCTATCCCTGGTCAGGGTGCTTACAGAAGGCAACNAAGGAGAGCAAGCACAGGCCTGGCCTGTGTGGCTCAGCTGGTTGGCACATCCTCTTGTACACCGTGGGTTCAACTCCCCATCAGGTTGTGGGTTCTATCCCTGGTCAGGGTGGTCAATGTTTCTAATTCTTTCTCTCCCTTCTTTTCTGTAAAATCAATTTAAAATTTTTTAAATTAAATAAATGAAGAGAAAGTACAAGCATAAAAGTCAGAATTTTCATACCTACCTGACCCAGGATAGAGTTTCTCAGAGACACTAGTGGTCCAAGGAATGAGTTGCTGGGAATGATTTATACACTTGCAACTTGAACCTTTATCCCTAAAGTATTTTTCAACACACCCTGAGAAAATAATTACCATGTTACTACAAGAGAAAACCCCCAGGGAAACAGTAATTTATGTCAGCTCACACTCATTAGTCTTGGGGTATGCACAATGTGATTGCACCAGTTTGCAATCATTCTGAGCTGATTGCTATGGGCGATCAGGAATTTCTTCTCATAAAATACTTACATTATGGATCAGCATTTTTTCCAATCAGGTCAGTAAAATTTTAATAAAAGTTCAAAATACTGACATAATTCATCGCCTTTGATGTTTCTGTGATGTTTTCCCAGTTGAAATAGTGTTTTGTACAGCCCCTTCCACAAAATTACTGTTTGCTGAAAAGACTTTCATTTCTAGAATAAAGTAGTTAAATTACAAAACCCAGTGAATAAAATCATTTGGACAAGATATCATAATGACTTGTAATAGAGTTAGTTCAAGGTGTGAGGTCCAGGAGTTGGAAAGTAATATATTATGAAAAACCTGGTGATCATGTAATTTATCAACATGTGATTTATTTGGCCACACATGAAATCAGAGTAAAGGGAAAATAGTATATCTGC